GTCTCGTACTCAATACAGACGAACCTCGCGTTCGAAGTCAAGCGAACTTCGTGTTCACTATGGTTAAGCCTCGACTTTTCATATTAAATTATGGGTCTACTTTGGTATACTTAATTTATTCAATTAAGTTATGGGCCCTAATTAAGCTATGGAAAATTCTTTTAATTCAAATTAAGTTGTTTAATTTGAATTAATTTTGGTAGTTAATCAATTATTTAATTCAAATAATATGACACTAAGATATTAAGTTGTCTCTCATTCCAAATGATTAATTAAAACAAGATGTTGCCAAAGTAACCTCTCTTGTGTAGATTGTTCATGAGGGATATCAGATGTTTGTGTGTATGTTTTCATGTAAATATTTAATTGGCCCAAAGGAAGGTTAATTATTTATTTAGACTGCAATACACATCTGCGATGATAAACGTGTGACAACTATAAGGTTTACATGTGAATAATGAATCAATCTAAAGATAGTTTCATTATTTGACATGAGTTATTGTCAATGTTTGATCATTGTAACAAGATATCACTTACAAGTTAATATTACTGTCCAAAGACTTGATATTAATGTTATGCCAGATATCTTGAGATAAGATTTGTTATTATTTGAATTTTATTGATTACGGTTAATAATGTGAGTATCTTTTGTTTATTTTATCTAATGCATCTGCTACAACAATTTCTGCTAATATCAACTCAATTCCCATGCTCAATAGGATAAATTTTAAGGTTTGGAATAAAAACATATTAATTGTTCTTGGCTGCATGGATCTAGACCTTGCATTAAGAACTAAACAACTTCACCCTCTCAATGCGGATAACACTCCTGATGCAAAGAAGGAGTATGAGAAGTGGGAGCGTTCAAATCGCATGAATTTTATGATCATTAAGCGTGGCGTTCCGGAAGCTTTTAGGGGCATAGAATCCGAAGGGATTACTAAGGCTAAAGATTTCCTTGCCGAAATTGAGAAGCGTTTTGCGAAAATGATAAGGTAGAAACAAGCATGCTTTTAGCTCGCTTGATTTCGATGAAGTATAAGGGCAAAGGAAATATCAGAGAGTACATTATAGAAATATCTCATATTGCTTCAAAACTTAAGGTACTTAAACTCGATCTTTGTGATGAGTTATTGGTGCATCTGGTTTTGTTATCTCTTCCTGCACAATTTAATCAGTTTGAGGTTAGTTATAACTGTCGAAAGGAGAAATGGACTCTAAATGAGCTCATTTCATATTGTGTGTAAGAAGAAGACAGGTTGAAGAAAGATAAGACTGAAAGTGCTCATTTGGCCTATGCCTCTAAGGATAAGGGCAAGAAAAGAAAGAATGATAATGAAGCTACTAAGGGTCCAGTTCAGAAGAAACAACATAAGGATAATCACAGTTGTTTCTTATGTAACAAACCTGGACACGTAAAGAATGATTATACCAAATATCACATCTGGCGTGCTAATAAGGGTACGTTCCTTATTTTGGTCTGTTCTGAGGTTAATTTAGCTTTAGTACCTAGAAACACTTGGTGGTTAGACTCTGGTGCTACTACTCACATAAGTGTTTCTATGCAGGATTGCCTGAGTTACCGAAAGCCAAGTGATGTTGAAAGACATATCTTTGTGAGCGATGGTCAATCGGTTGATGTGGAATCAATTGGGAACTTTAGGTTGCTACTAGAAACTGGTTCATATTTGTATTTAAAAGAGACTTTTGTAGTACCGTCTTTTAGACAAAATTTGATTTCAGTTTCTGTATTGGACAAATTAGGTTATTCTTGTTTATTTGGAAACAATCAATTTAGTTTATCTTTTCATTCAAATATTATGGGAACTGGTTACTTGAGTACTTATGACAACCTATATTTGCTCGATACAATTGCTTCTTATAATGAATCCTTGCATGTGGAATCACGTGGTACTAAGCGTAAATTAAATAAGGAAAATTCGGCGATATTATGGCATAAGCGCTTGGGTCATATCTCAAAAGGTAGAGTTGAGCGTCTTGTGTCTGATGGCATTTTGGATTCCCTTGATTTTTTTGGACTTCGACGTATGTGTTGAATGTATCAAGGGAAAATAGACCAAAGTTAAGAGATTAGATGCCAACAGATCTTCAGATGTCTTAGAATTGATACATACAGATATTTGTGGGCCATTCCCTACGGCATCCTAGAATGGTCAATAATATTTTATATCATTCATAGACGATTACTCACGTTATGGGTACCTATATCTCATTCATGAGAAATCTGAGTCTCTGGACATGTTCAAAGCCTATAAAGATAAAGTTGAGAATCAACTCAATAAAAGAATTAAAACTGTTAAATCTGATTGTGGTGGTGAGTACTACGGCAGATATGATGGTTCAGGTGAACAACATCTAAGACCATTTGCTAGATACCTAGAGAAATACGGTATCGTCCTATAGTACGCAATGCCGGGTTCACCTAGCATGAATGGTGTAGCTGAAAGACGAAACAGGACTCTTAAGGATATGGTAAGAAGTATGATTGTTTATTCTTCTTTACCAGAGTCACTCTGGGGAGAAGCACTGAAGATAGCAGCTTATATTCTGAATAGAGTACCAAGTAAAGCAATTGCTAAAACACCTTATGAGCTTTGGACTGGTCGAAAGCCCAATTTAAAGCACTTACATATTTAGGGATGTCTAGTTGAGGCAAGGCCTTATAGGCTAAATAAAAAGAAATTGGACTCCAAAATAGTTAGCAGCTACTTTATTGGGTACTCTGAACGCTCTAGGGGCTATAAGTTCTATGATCCCACACTAAGAAATATTTTTGAGACGGGAACAACAACATTCTTTGAGGATGTTGAGTTTGGGGGGAGAAATAAGGTCAGAGATATTGCTTTTGAGGAGGAATTGGCTTCAGATCTAATCCATACAGTTACTTTTGACAATATTCAGGTTCCTATACCTGTTGTTGCTCAAGAAGTAAATTCGGAACCTCAAGATGACAATGTTGAACAACTCTCTATTCCAGAAAAATAAACTCAACAACCTCAAGAACCAGTGTCATTAAGGAGATCCACGAGAGAAAGGAAAAATGCTATTTCGGATGATTATATTATATTTCTCCAAGAACATGAGGAAAGTAATGGAATGTTGAAAGATGATCCAATCAACTTCCTTCAGGCCATGAAAAGTTCTAACTCTCAACAGTAGATTAATGCCATGAATGAATAATACAAGTCTATGCAAAACAATAAGGTTTGGGAACTTATCTCATTGCCAGAAGGTGCAAAACCAATTAGTTATAAATGGATATTTAAAACCAAACGGGATGCAAATGGTAATGTGGAGAGGTATAAGGCACGTCTTGTAGCTAAAGGTTTTACTCAAAAGGAAGACATTGATTATACAGAGACTTTCTCTCCGGTTTTATCGAAAGACTCTTTTAGAACAATCATGACACTTGTTGCTCATTATGATCTTGAGTTACATCAGATGGATGTTAAGACTGTATTTCTCAATGGCGACATTGATGAGATGATTTATATGGTGCAACCAGAAAGCTTTGTGTCAGGAGACCCAAAGAATATGGTTTGCAAATTAAGGAAATCCATCTATGGACTCAAGCAAGCTCATCGTCAATGGTATTACAAGTTTTAACAAATAATTATCTCGTTCGGTTTTGAGATGAACATTGTTGATGACTGTGTATATCACAAGTTTAATGGGAGTAAGTATATTTTTCTGGTTCTGTATATCGATGACATATTGCTTGCCACTAATGATATAGGCATGTTGCATGAAACCAAGAGATTTCTATCAAAGAATTTTGAGATGAAAGATCATGGGGACGCCTCTTTTATATTAGGAATCCAAATACATCGAGATCGCTCTCGGGGTATTCTTGGATTATCACAAAAGAGCTATATCGATAAAGTACTTAAAAGGTTTGGCATGCAAGACTGCAGACCAGGAGACACCCGTGTAGCTAAAGGAGACAAGTTTAGTCTCAATCAGTGCCCTAAAGGAAACCTTGAAATTCAGGAAATGCAGAAGATTCCTTATGCCTCGGCTGTAGGAAGTCTAATGTATGCTCAGGTATATACGCGTCCGGATATTGTGTACATTGTTGGGATATTAGGTAGATACTTAAGCAACCCTGGTATGGATCATTGGATAGCAGTCAAAAGGGTTATGAGGTATCTTCAGAAAAAAAAGATTATATGCTCACATACAGAAAATTAGAACAGTTGGAGATCATTGGGTACTCTAATTCTGATTTTGCTGGATGCGAAGATAGCAGAAATGTCACGCCCCGCATCCCAAAATACTAGGGAATCGGGACGCGAGCAAGCCCGCGACGTATTAGACTAAGAAGAGATAAGTGCTAGACCCCGTCGATCACAATCAGCAAGAATATAATGAACAACACAGAATAAGATAGTACATATCACAAATGAATATCATCCAAGACATAATATTCGGGTCAAACATGCCCTTATACAAGTATGAACAAATGAATACTGAAAAGATACAAAATAAACTGATCAAATAGAAATGGAATGTAGTACAAAAGAAAACGGAGGACCAATAACTAAGCTTCAGCTTCTTCTGCTCCGTCTGCAGGGCACTCCTGCTGAGAATCCTCTGGCTCCTAATGATCTCCCAGCTGAACCTGTCTGGCTCCTAATGATCTCCCGGCTGAACCTGTTCTTCTCCTAAGTCTGACGTACACCAGAGAAAATAGGTGTACGTCAGGTGCATGACGCACGGCAAGACCCGACCCCACAAAGAAAATAGAACGACCGAAAACACAAGCGGAAAACGATACGAAAACCGAAATAACAAAAGAACGTGCAACTAGTAATCTAACAAAATCAACATGCAATCCACATGATAATCATAAGAATCCGTAAATCATTCAGGTGACAAAAACATGCAGCTAGCGATCAGAACAATCATCCAAGTATCAGGGACATACAATAGATGGAATTAATACCTAAAAACCTACAATCCAGTTTCGATAAACTTTTTACGTACTGAGCCCTAAAACGTAACCTGATATCTTTGATTAGTCCGAACTTTCAGATATCTCAATCAATTCCTGTCTTAGTCTTGGTAAGATTCAGCATTGACAAATTCTAGAACTTAAATGCAGAATCCAGGGCAATATGCCGATACATCTGTGACAAATATGCAACCAAAGGCAAGATGGGCTTGATGGGCAATACAGAGGGTGGACTAATTCATCGAGCTTCCATAGATCAGTGGCTAGAAACCGAGTCTCAGAGCTTCAACCCTCCGACTTCAACTTTAGTCGCGCAACTAGTTTTCTATCCTCAAATGAAGTTGAAACAAGATGCAGCAGCAATCAGAGACGCTGAGAGAAAACTGAAGAAAGTACTAGATGTTTATGATCACAGGCTAAGTGAGAGCAGGTTTTTGGCTGGAGAGGAGTTTTCATTAGCTGATCTCTCTCATTTGCCTAATGCTCAGTATCTTCTTAACTCCACTGATCGTAGTCATCTCTTTACATCGAAGAAAAATGTTGGAAGATGGTGGGAGGAGATCTCAGGGCGTGCATCGTGGAAGAAAGTCCTTGAGATGCATTAGGTCTTAGACTGCAACTTGATCTTTGTTGGTAAAGTTTGTAGCTATGGATTTTGTAAGATTTTCTTGAAGCAGAAAATATTGTCACTACTGGAAAACTTGGTATTACCCAAGGAGCTTTACCCAGAGATGCAAATCCTAGCTGTTACGTAGAAGTACCCAGGAAATTACACGTGGGTATTCAATTTATGGGAATCAGATACAACATCCATCGCTGGTCCATGGGTTATGGTCAATAGCAATAGATTTTGTTGGGAAATAATCCTGACGTATGTGTTTGTTTGAGTCATTAGGAGATTGTTAAGCAGTTGAGATTTAGGAGACTGTTAGAAGTTGAGATTTGTGATTAGGAGATTGGAAGTGGTTGTGATTTATCATTAGGAGTTTGTTAGGTAGTTGATTTGAGTTAGCTATTTAATCACTGGGTTGTACGCTGTTTTTGATGAGCAGTGGAGTTTTTGTTTCAATAAAAATATCTTGTGTGCATTTTTCTCCTGCTCCTTCAATCAGGAGAACACGTATGAACGTGTTGTTCTTTGAGTGTTCCAGGTGAGTGAGTTGCTTCTTTAAGTGTTTCAGGTGAGCGTTTCTTTACTACAATGAGGAGCTGGTGGGGTTGGGCTGTTGGAGGCTGAGGTGGTGGTGTTGGAGATGGTGTTGATGAAGGTGTTGTTGGGTTCTTGTAGAGGAGAAAGAGAGAGAATGAGAGTGAGGAAATGAAAGGGATGAAGAGAGAGGGAGTGAGCTGGTGTGTGTCTTCATGGGGAGGGAGAGAGATTAAGAGGGGAGTGAGAGACGAGCAGAAGAGGGAGATGATTGGAGAGAGAGTGAGGGAGACAGGAGAGAAAGACAGGGGTTGGTGGGAGATCTTACGTGTACCTCATGGGCGGCTTGAAGCTGCGTGTGTTTGTCAAAAGAAGTGGGCGGAGGCTTGGGCACTTCTGAGTGTGTTTGTCAAAAGAAGTGGGCGGAGGCTTGGGCGGATCTGAGAACGAGGGGGAGAGAAAATGGAAAAGAGAGTGTCAGAGAGAGAGAGATAGATTGAGTGTGGGATTGGAGAGAGAGAAGAACGGCGGAAGAAATTAATGAGGGAGATTGTGCGGGATAGGGTGGTTGGGAGGACGTGGGTTGAGAGCTGGGAGAAAACACGAGACGGAGGGGTATACAGAGTGAACACCGGTGAGAGGAAAAACACAGGGAAAAATACCCCTTTAAATAATTTAAAAATATCATAAAATTTATTCCAAATAAATATTAAAATTTATGGTCAAAATAATAATAACAATAACAATGATGAATAATTTACTATTTATTTAAATATTTTACCAAAACAATTAAATTTATAATTAGCAAAACTTATTAAAATAACATAATATCGTATTTTTAAATCGTAGAAAATTTTAGAGAAATTAGAAAAATACAAATACTCTTTTAGAAAATAATATTTAATATTTAAATACCAGAAAATTATTTAAGCCCGTATTAGAAATTTACGGTCATTACATCCTACCCCCCTTAAAACAAATTCCGTCCTCGGAATTAAAATAAGAACCCCAGTGACAGATATGGAATGATATCCATAAGCAGATGAGACAAGAAACAAGAAACAAGAAACAATGGAAGGTTACGAGACAAGAAATAGTGGAATGTTCCGGAGTCAAAAGTGATAAGATAGGGACGAAATGACATCTATCAAGAAAATAGGATAATGGCTCAATGATAGTCTCATGGATGAAATATGATACGTATCTAAATTGTCTACCATATTCTTACTAGTGATGACTCGGGACCGTGACCTGCATGGCCCACCAAAAAAAACCTGTCACGCCCCGCATCCCAAAATACTAGGGAATCGGGACGCGAGCAAGCCCGCGACGTATTAGACTAAGAAGAGATAAGTGCTAGACCCCGTCTTCTCAATCTAATACGCTAAGCGTCAAGAAATAAAGCGAAGGTACAGGTCCCCGATCACACATAGCAAGAATATAAAGACAACCCAGAATAAAAATAGACATATCATCAATGGTAAATCATCCCAGACATAATATTCGGGTCAAACGTGCCCTTATACAAGTATGAACAAATGAATACTGAAAAGATACAAAATAAACTGATCAAATAGAAATGGAATGTAGTACAAAAGAAAACGGAGGACCAATAACTAAGCTTCAGCTTCTTCTGCTCCGTCTGCAGGGCACTCCTGCTGAGAATCCTCTGGCTCCTAATGATCTCCCGGCTGAACCTGTTCTTCTCCTAAGTCTGACGTACACCAGAGAAAATAGGTGTACGTCAGGTGCATGACGCACGGCAAGACCCGACCCCACAAAGAAAATAGAACGACCGAAAACACAAGCGGAAAACGATACGAAAACCGAAATAACAAAAGAACGTGCAACTAGTAATCTAACAAAATCAACATGCAATCCACATGATAATCATAAGAATCCGTAAATCATTCAGGTGACAAAAACATGCAGCTAGCGATCAGAACAATCATCCAAGTATCAGGGACATACAATAGATGGAATTAATACCTAAAAACCTACAACATGAGACGTAGTACGTCGAGCGAAATAATCCAAACAAGGAAACCCTCATGTATATACCATATGTCTCGAATTGTAAATAATTAAATATCAATCCCGATCTATGTATGAAAAGAACAACACTGGTCTACATCTCAACAAAACTAACAAAGTCCACCATAAAGCACACAAGCAGATTATTCTTGTTTTACATGTTATTTGAATTGGGGAAGAATATTTTGATGTATATAATCGGGTCCCCGTAAAGTCGTCCGGGGGCCGCCCTCAAGTCAAGTTTTGGCCCTCTGGCCCATGTAAATAACACTCACGATATCACGATAACAAGAAAGCGATGTGCCCGTTTATATACATGCTATATTCTCCGTCCAATCCCCCTTTATAACCCCATGTTTGTCATATTAATTACACAACTGTACATGAAATATTATGCACTAGCCACGGAGTTACCGTGGAACGACTTCTGTAAAACTATGAACATAACCATGACCCACAACATGTCCGATCAAGAGTGCATCGTCTAGTCAATGCTATAATAATAATAATAATCAAGGAAACCTCATACCGGGATATCGATATCGAGGGAACTCGGGACTCCTCACATCGGGATATCGATGTCGAGCGAGTATAGCCATGCTTTGAAGCACGCTTATAAATCATACTTTTAACAGAAGTCGTCTTCATGTACAGTCTCTCCTATTAGGTAACAACTAAGTTATAAAACAACAAGCTTCCACACATCTATTCATGTCAAGCAATCCCACGCAGGTAATAATAATATATTACAGACTAATCTAATTAATTTACTCATAACAAATCTAGAAATTGAATGACGAGTCACATAATAATTTACGATAAAACTAAGAATTAAAATAAAGTAATCAAGGTTCGGGATCTTGCCTCGGGTTCGTCAAATGATTCAACGTCGACGACACAGATCAAATCTGGCAAGGGGAGCGCGGCGTCGGCTAGGGTGCTGCAGGAGGGTTATGACGAGTCAAAGGGAAGCGGGATCTTGCCTCGGGTACGTCGTCAACTGCAGCGGGGGTCGTCGGGGTGGATACACGGGTCACAACAGGTTCAACGGCTCGTCGGAAAGTCAATCGGTTAGAATACAAAAGAGAGGTATTAGTAGCGATTAGCGATATTCGAATGAATATAACGATGTGTAGATAAGGAGCCCAAGTAAAAGGAATATACTGTGTGATAGACAACACGAAGGGCTACGCACCGGTGAAGACGGTGGCGGAAACGGAGATCGGAAGTGGCCGGAAAACGCGTGCGAAGTTGGCACAGTGCTGCTGTTTTCAGCGAACTGCTTGCCGTCGATCGATGTTTCGGACGATACCGAGAGAGATAGAGAGTGAGTTAGAGTGTGATACAAATTGGAGGTGATAGGCAATATGTAGGTCTACTCACCGGAGAAGAAATCGACGAAAACGGAGGTCGGAGGTGATCGGAAAGTACGTGCAAAGTCAGAACAAAGCTGCAGAAATCTGTTCGCTGTTCGGTCACTGTTCGGGCTCGTTCCTCACTGTCCGGAGCCTTTCGCCGCTGCCTGGGCTTGCCGGAGGTGGGAGGAGGTTGCCGGGGGTGTCGGGATGTCTCGGTGGGCTCCGACGGGGTTCGCCGGCGGCTAAAAGGTGGGGACGGCGGTTGATGGTGATGGCGGATGGTGGAGGAGATGGGGCTGGTGATGTTGGATGGTGGTGGAGGTGCTGGTGGTGATGGAGATCAGGGAGAAGGAGGTGGTGCTGGTGGTGGAGGCTGAGGTGGTCGGAGGTCGTGGTGGAGTTCGTCGACGCTGAGGCGAGCAGCGGCAGTCCGGAGTTGGGGCTTGGTGAGGCGTTGAAGGAGTTGGTGATGGTGATGAGGAGCTGGTGGGGTTGGGCTGTTGGAGGCTGAGGTGGTGGTGTTGGAGATGGTGTTGATGAAGGTGTTGTTGGGTTCTTGTAGAGGAGAAAGAGAGAGAATGAGAGTGAGGAAATGAAAGGGATGAAGAGAGAGGGAGTGAGCTGGTGTGTGTCTTCATGGGGAGGGAGAGAGATTAAGAGGGGAGTGAGAGACGAGCAGAAGAGGGAGATGATTGGAGAGAGAGTGAGGGAGACAGGAGAGAAAGACAGGGGTTGGTGGGAGATCTTACGTGTACCTCATGGGCGGCTTGAAGCTGCGTGTGTTTGTCAAAAGAAGTGGGCGGAGGCTTGGGCACTTCTGAGTGTGTTTGTCAAAAGAAGTGGGCGGAGGCTTGGGCAGATCTGAGAACGAGGGGGAGAGAAAATGGAAAAGAGAGTGTCAGAGAGAGATAGATTGAGTGTGGGATTGGAGAGAGAGAAGAACGGCGGAAGAAATTAATGAGGGAGATTGTGCGGGATAGGGTGGTTGGGAGGACGTGGGTTGAGAGCTGGGAGAAAACACGAGACGGAGGGGTATACAGAGTGAACACCGGTGAGAGGAAAAACACAGGGAAAAATACCCCTTTAAATAATTTAAAAATATCATAAAATTTATTCCAAATAAATATTAAAATTTATGGTCAAAATAATAATAACAATAACAATGATGAATAATTTACTATTTATTTAAATATTTTACCAAAACAATTAAATTTATAATTAGCAAAACTTATTAAAATAACATAATATCGTATTTTTAAATCGTAGAAAATTTTAGAGAAATTAGAAAAATACAAATACTCTTTTAGAAAATAATATTTAATATTTAAATACCAGAAAATTATTTAAGCCCGTATTAGAAATTTACGGTCATTACAAGAAAGTCTACATCAGGCTACATTTATATGTTAGCAGGAGGAGCTATATCATAAAACAGTGTTAAACAGATACTTGTAGCTTCTTCCACTATGGCAGCAGAGTTTGTAGCTTGCTATGAGGTATCAAATCATAGAATATGATTGCGAAATTTTGTCACTAGACTGCGTATTTTGGAAAATATGGAAAGACCACTAAGGTTATATTGTGACAATAAATCTGCAGTAATGTATTCCAATAACAACAGAAGCTCAACTAAGTCAAAACATATTGACATTAAGTTCCTGGTTGTGAAAGAAATGGTACAGAGTGGACAGAACATATTGACATTAAGTTCCTGGTTGTGAAAGAAATGGTACAGAGTGGACAGATATCCATAGAGCACATATTGGGACAAACTCCATGATAGCTGATCCTCTTACTAAGGGATTAACACCCAAGGTCTTTCATGAGCACACTGCTCATATGGGTGTGGTGTTATTCGAGGATATCATGATTTAGTCGGAGTTTGTAATTTTTTGGTGCTTTGTGTTTAGTTGTATTGTCTGATCAGAATAAAGTATTCAGTTAAGACACTCTGTTACATTATGTTTGGTTTTGACCTCACTAAAGTAGGACCAGTTAAAAATAGACATGTACTAATCACATTGCATGTAATTTTTATGTTGCACATCCATGATTGATCTATGTCGTTTGATTGTATTGGTATATGTGACCATTGATGGGTCGAGTCACGATAAATTTGACAAATGCTGCTCTGATCCTATATTGATATAGTCAATGGATGAGATTGTTCAGAAATACATTTACAGTGATAGCAATTTTGAGCTCATAAGGTTATACACACCTTAAGGAGTCATATGGTGCCCAAGTGATTTTGAGCTCATAAGGTTATACACACCTTAAGGAGTCATATGGTGCCCAAGTGGGAGATTGTTGGATTTAAATCTAATTTATACACACCTTAAGGAGTCATATGGTGCCCAAGTGGGAGATTGTTGGATTTAAATCTAATTAAATCTATATGTGGGCATGTATGATTAGTCTGTGTGTATTGCTATCCTTCAGGATAACCCACTAAAGTGATCAATTAATTTGGGTTAATGGGTATTTAAATAAATCATGGGGTTATATGTGCAGATACCAGGTTGTAATTGTAATTTAATGAGGGGCCAACTTATAAATGTACAACACCTGTATATATGGGGTTATGGTCCCTAATTTAGGGTTAGCCACTCTCATTCTCTTATCCTCATCTAAAGAGATTCATAAGGGAGAAACCCTGAGGTTAGAAGATCATCAAAACCCTAATCAGGTTTTTCTCAATGGATTCAGGTATATGCTTCCGCACCTTTTGATTCGTGTTAATCTCTTTCAATTAATCATGGCTTTATGGTTTTGATCTCAAATTTTTAGATCTAACAAAATGAAGACGCCTTCTCCATTTAATTGGTAGCTAATTTTATTTTATGTTTCGTTCATTGTTTGAATACGTTACGCTATCTCCATACCTACTACTTGCATTTTATATAAAGATGACTTTGACAAATGTGTCATTCGTTATCTTCTTTTTCCCTACTATAATTGATCAGTTAACATGATTATGCACTTTGTAGGGGCCATCCTAGTTGACTTAAAAAAAAAAACTTTATACGACATTATAAATCCTTTTGAGAGAGACAAGCTACATCTCAAAAGAAAGCTTACTGATATCAAAAGTCACGGTTCCTCCATCACACTAACAATGGCCTCTTCATCAATCAAGCAAGATATATATCGGTCCTTCATCTACGGGGAAGGTGAGAAAGATACCCAGTGGCGTCATGGTGCTCCTCCCAACTTTGATGTTGTCAACAAGCTCTTTGAAGAAGGTCGAACTCAGGTAATGACCATCTATCTTTTGGCTAAAATTCCCTTTCACTTCACTAAAATTCTGGAGCCTGAAATTTACCATTCATTTATTATGTAATTATTCTTTTCGAGTGAATATAATATCACTATTAGTATATAATTTAATGGAATAATGTTTCGATTGTATTCAGGAATGGCCTGAGGGATCACTTGAGGAGAAAGTGCAGCGCTTAGTGAAATCATGGGAAATGGAGATGTTTCACAAAATTAGGCCGCAAGATCTCAAAACTGTCAACCTCGACAAGTTTCGTTTCTGCTTGAATGGTGATTCCATCTTCTGTTACAATAGGCCATATTACTATGCAAAAAAACAAATAAATGTGATGTATTACCGACAGGATGCATTGAGTACCTTAGAAATAATTATCGTCATAAAATAGGATTATAGGAAATAAAGTACCGAGGTGTAATTAGCAAGTGGTAGATGTAGCCAGTTTAATGAACATATGATCATCAGAAGGTATAACACTCTGATCAGAAAAAAGATTCACAGATTGAAGGAGAAGTATTTTTATATGCATATGAATTTCTTCTCAAAACTTTACAGGAGGGAAGATTTTAACTATACAAGATATTAAAGAAATGGGAGGAGCCTACAATGCTTTTCTGCAAACCACTCTACCTGAGAATCTTCGGATTTATGATCCAACGAAAGAAACACGGGAGTCGGCTCATGAAATTTTCAACACCGTGTTCCCTCGCGGGTTTGCGTTCGAGATACTTCACGTCTACAGCGGTCCACCAACAATTGTGTACAAGTTTAGGCACTGGGCTTTTATGGAAGGCCCTTTCAAAGGGCTTGCTCCCACTGGAGATAAGGTTGAACTTTTTGGAATTTCAATCTTTAAGGTACCTACATCAGCCTTCTTAATTTAATTTTCCTTCAATGCATTGTTTGTATGGGTTTTCATCTATGATCAGTGCATCAGTGTGGTCCGATATAACTTACATATATCATGGTTGTACTTGACATTTATGTTGACAAGTTTACAAACTTATCTTCCACAGTGTTGTCCTATCCTTATCTATTCCTCTATCCAAAGAGGAGAACCCAAGAGTCACTATTCATACTACAGTAAATACTACAGTATCATTTACTGTAGTGTTATCACTGTAGCAAACAGGACGGGATACAGTAAATCCTTATCTATTCATTTATCTTCAACGCACATCATTCAGTTAATAAATCCATTATACATTCTTTTAATATTGACTTTATATATGGACAGATTGATAAAGACATGAAAATTGAAAATGTCGAATTTTTCTATGACGGAAACGCATTCTTGGCAGGCTTTCTCAGCGGTGGACAGAGAGACGATTACTCAACAGCTTCTATTGGTTGCCCTTTCATGAGTACTAAATGAATCATTCAAAAATATTATGTATGATTATTACGCATTCAACACCTTATCGTGTCTTTCAAAGTGTGGTTAACGAAAACTGTTATTCATAGTTATGTATTATGTATTTCCAAATTATAATGTACTTGTTATGAATAATCACAAGATATTTTCTTATTCAAACGTGGTTACAAAATGTTTGAAAAGTAGTTGGAAAAAAAATTGAATTTTCTGTGTCTTCTGCTTTTGTGTTTGTCTTACGCTGAACAATTAAATGAGCTTTATTAATTCACTGACTACCATGAATACATCTGCCTCTCTACTTATGAGTTTATAATAATATAAGATGGGTTTAGTTGATGTGACGCTAAACACTTAGACATAGGACTCAATGCTTTTAATATTCCTGCTCAAGCTGGCACATAAAATATCATGCATCAATGCCTCTCACAAATAACTAATACTTGATTTTTCAAATGATTTGATGAATTAATAATCTTTCAACTCATGTATGATTCTAACATATTCACTGTCTATTTTAAGATCCTCGGTTTTCTATCCTCCTCTTCGACAGCACTGTCACGCCCCTGTAACTGTAGCGGAAAATTCATAAATACGGGTTGCGCGATAGCAGCGACCCGTGCACGAGACAAGTCTTATGCACGAGTTAAGCCTAACACTTCATATCACTTAGTTTATCTCAAAATATTCATAAACCTGCTGATGATAGAAGTTGAGAGCAACTATATATATGTATATAATAATTACTTACAACCCACAAGCTCACCGTTATAAGCATTTTAGAAAATAAAGCACATTCTTGACCATATGTAACATTCAAAAAGTAGGCTTTTCATATAACGCCTCTCAGCAAAGCGTCACAACCAAAAGTTTGGATAGTATGAAGCTACACCGGATCTTAAAAAAAATAAAAATGACGGGGTGAGCTAGAGCTCAATGAGAACATTTCCCAATAGAGTTCCTAGATAACTAACAAAATAATAATAAGGATAATTCCTAGAAATAACGAATTATAAGTTTTGCATTAGAAATTCAAAAATAGCAAAATATGATCCAAATATCATAATATTGTCGTCTTCAAGAAAGAATGCAACAATTATATTTTCTTTCTTATGTGCAACTGAATATACTATGACATTTCCTAGAATCAAACTCTTTTCGAATCAAGGTAAACATAAAGAAAGAAAAAAAACTACTAATTTGTACAAAACCAGAGGATTATTATTTTTTTAATTTCATAGTCAATTGTCAGAATCTTAATTCTCGATGAGTTATTCATGAATGTAAAAGTCACCTCATAGGTCACACTAAGCCTACGAATTATAGCCCAATGCGTAAAACGCATCACATAACAGATAATTCTCGATAATCGATACACGTAACACTGTCATAGGTTAATGGCCAAATATAGAGGGGCCAGAATAAATTTTAGAACGGCCAATATAGAAGGGCTAATATAGAGGGGCCAAATAAAGTTACATTCACCATATGGCAAGCAGAATCACTCTATAGTGGACTTTTTGAGGGTTTGAAATAATTGACAATCACTTGTCAAATGAGTAACACCTTGCATATCAGAATTTATAGATGTTTTCAAATGAAGTGAACAAGGTAAAACTCCTCATCCTAATTAAAACAGTTTACGGATTTTTCACTTTTCTTTATTTTTATCAGATACTAAGTCATAGAAAATCTTTGAATCCATTAAACGGTTGAAACATATTCAAAATGTTTATTTTCTTCAAAAGCTTTCATATAAAGCAATTCCCACAATTATTTGAAATCGCATAAGAACCAAATTCGCTTTTCATAGTTCATATAAAATCAAATTGATTTTTCATATATTATACAAAATCAACATCGTATTTATGGCTTAGGCCACAACAGAAGTAGATTAAATCACATTTTAACTTAATAATATATGAAAATATTATATTATTTATTTTTTGTTTACAAGATAAATCAAATATAAACTCATGCAATTTCATATTATAAAATACTAGTGAGAAATGAACTCACCTCTAGGGGACACGACTTCCCCAAAATATTATTTCCCTTGGATATCAACCAGATCCTATAATATAAGATATAAGACTAATTATTAATTCAGGACAAACAAATATTATAGGTAAATCAATTCATAATCTAGAGGCAAATAAATTCAAATATAATCAATAATAATTAAAATCTAGTGTACAAATGAGCTTATTGCTAACTTTAGTAATTATCAAAATTTTATACTTCTCATATACTAGTTGTGACGCCCCTGTTTTTACACATGGTTGCAGTCTAAGGTGAACCCAGAGATGTCAAACTTGCCATGCACTCATACTGTGCAACAACACATTTTACCATCATAGTACTATCTCTCTAGTTGAATCAACAAGAAGTGTAAGTACAAAACAGACAAAATAAGGGAAATAAATACAATAGACATGATGTAGAAAGAGATATCTAATATATATAATCACGTCTCAACTGAATAAACTGAATACAACTAAAGTCTGAAATAAATGTGAAGTATCTCAATATGAGTCAACTAAAAATAAAGTAAGGCACACAACCTTTACAAGATGAAATATAAAACTCTAAATGTCTGAAAGAAAATATCAACTATGGTAGAGTTTCATCTACTAAAAACATGTGACTGCGACTATGTTGAAAGTCAGTCATCCTGCGGCCCTCCGGAACTCTGAGCAGCTGCCTAAAAGAAATTGAAAAATAAAAATAGAAATAACAAGAGCATCAGAGCGATATAGCAAGATCACCTCCATCCGCCCCCAGGGGAAGGGCTACTAGATGTGATGGAGCCTCTATCTATTAAGCATAGTCTATATAGATTATTTATCCTGTATGTAAATGGAATTAATATTTACAAACCTACAACACGAGACGTAGTACGTCAAGCGAAATAATCCAAACAAGAAAACCCACATGTATATACCAAAAGTCTCAAATTGTAGATAACTAAATATCAATACCGAACTAAGAATAATCAATCTAAATAGAATTAATAATTAGAAACTCACAACACAAAACTGGTACGTCGAGCGAAATAATCCAAACAAGGAAACCCTCATATATATATCATATGTCTCAAATTGTGAATCACTAATTATCAATTCAAACTAGGAATAAAGGAAAGCAATACAAGGAAGTAAAGTCATCACAATATCGAACCAAAAATATCTTCCAATATCCCTTGGAAGATAATAAACAATAGTATTTAATCTCACGTACCCACGAGAGTAAAGTACCTCAGTCATATATAACTCAGCGATGAATCATGTTCATAATGGCGTCCACCAAGACTCAGGCTATTAGATAATTATCATAATGCAAATCATTACAAAGTTTATAATTCATCGCATTATCATACGAGACGGACTACCAAATCAGTATCTTAATAGAGTACATAGCTCATTAGTCTTATTGCATCGACGTGTGAGATAGACTACCAAATCAAGGCATCCTAAGTATATGGCTCACCAACCTCATCACATCTACTTGCGGGACAGATTACTAGATCAAACATCCTAAAACCCAACTTAATGGCCTGTACTAATGGTATATCAACGCACTATCCTAAGTAGTACTGAGCGGTGCTCATCAACGATATCCATACATGTATATAATGTTTAAATAACCCATATCCCAAGTGTGGTTGAAAACAATACATATAATAATCCTCTATAGGATATCTGTGTGTATGCTACCGTAGGCATCTAAAAATGCCTATAGGTTTCCACACGTAGCTCGGGACGAAGAGAAGACGATGAACGTCATCATCAGAGTTAAGAAGGATTATCCGAGTGGCCTGCGGCTTGTCGGCCAGTTCCAAGTACCTGCCGTGCTTGTCGGTCAGCTCCAAGTGCCCGTCGCATTTATCATTCAGCTTCAAGTACCGTAAAGAAGCTAACGAGCGCATGAAGCAAGTTAGTGAAGCGTACAAGTCACCAGGATGACTAGATAGGTAAAACGGCAGAAAATACAAGTTCTGAAAAATCGCAAAGTGTCAAAGAGTTCAGCTAATGCTAAATTTCACGTGCCAACGCAGGACAGCGGTAGCTGACCCGTGCCATCGACCGTCAGCAACGGCTGACCCGCTCCCCCCGC